CCCCTCCTGGGTACCAAACCTCACCTCCAAATAGGAACCTCAGCACAACAAGCAGCAGCGGTTGGTCCCCACAGGCAGGGAGATGGTGTTGGTGGAGATGATGCAGATCATGAGCATCACCCAGCAGGGAGGCACAGAACTCTGTGTCCTGCTGTTAGAAACAAGGGCAGAGCTGGAGGAGCTCTGCCAGCCCTGCCTGGACTCCTTCCACCCTTCATGTGCAAACGAGTTGTCAGCTCCTCACCAAAGGGTCCAATGCTGCAACAGATCACGAGCCCAAGCAGCGCTGACATGAACATGGCCTTTGATGTCAATGGGGTAACTCGCATCCATGTTTGCTTCTTGCCTAGGTTCCTTAGGAGAAGGACTATTAACAACTGCCAACTTATCTCAATTAGCATCTCTGTGCTTGCCAGCCTGGGTGCTCTGCGAGCACTCGTTCCAGGACATGCACGTTTGGCTATTCCCAAGGTGCTGCTTTGTGTAAACCACACATACTTGTTTCTTGGAGCAAGCGATGGTGGAAGAACTGAAGGCAGCTCATGCAGAACCCATTAGCTTCAGTTAACTGGCAACCCCTTCGTTAAGCTGAGGGTGGAGAGGCCAGAGGAGATGCACACACCTCTGAGTGTGAAGCGCAAGGCTGTCAAAACTGTGCTTTGCATGACTGAAAAGCACAATGAGGGAGAAGCGGAGCAGAGAGGATGTGGCAGGCTGTGAGGCTGGGCATGGAGGCAGTGCTGGAGCGGGGATTGGGCAAAGCCAGGAACTGTGCTCATCACCAAAGCGTGGGGATGCTGCAGGCAGCCCTGAGCCAGGGCCAAGCCGCTGGGGGACAGAAAGCAACACAAAACTCTGGTCCAATGGGACCTGCCCTGTGGTTTCCCTGTGCTGAACCCCAAGGGCTCCTGGTGGAGCTGTTACCACTGGCACAGCAGCTGGGAAACATCCCAAGGGATGCTGCGGTGCCTCCAGCCCCATCCTGGAGCTGCGAATGTGCCACAGCCAACAGGGAAGCATCTGGGAAGTAACCACGTCAGTCTGCCCTTCCAGCCTCGAGGAGCTGGGTGAGGACACATCCCCTTCAACCTCCTGATGTCCAAAGAGCCCGTGATGAGAGAGGTTAATTAAGAGCAAACCAACCTCGTCCCCAGGCGCTCCATCACCACCCCACTCTGGGCAGCCAGGAGGATGAGGAGGAAGGGCAGGAGGAATCCCAGCACAGCCTGAGCCTAACTCACAAACCAACCAGGCTGTTGCTGCCTGATCTGACCCTGCAGAGCTGCCTGCGGGGGCTCCATCCCCAGAGCCCTCCCAGGGCCAAAGTCACCCCTTTCAATATGATTTTGGCAGTTCACTGGGCCTGAGCTCCCACTCTAGGGAGAGGAAAGGATTATCCCTGGCCCTGGTTCAGAGGCAGCCCTGTGAAGGTGTGATCTCCAGCCTCGCAGGAGCGGAGCAGTGATCCCGACCGCATCGCCTGCTGCCAGCATCCTTCCTGCTCGGCTCTCTCAGCCTTTGCTTTTTAATTTCCTGTGGTCACAGAGCACCATATGAGGGTCTCCCAGGGTCGGTGTTTCCCACACTGGGTTGGGGGGAACACAGCGAGTTCAATCAATCTTGGCACAGGGAAGCTACCTGCAAGGAGGGGCTGGATTTCACTATGGATTATCCGCATACTTGAAGCCACAACCAGTGTTAAAGCAAAGAAAACCCCAAACATCCCAGGGGAATATTTAAGCTGGTGGCTGCTAGCCATGAGCTGAGCCTTGCAGTGAAGAGGCAAATGGGATTAGTTTGCAGGAAGAGCATTGGGGTGCAGGTCCAGGGAAGCTGGATACTGCTTGAGCTGTATCATTATGGAGCATCCCATCACCTGGAAAAGACCCAGCCCCTGCACCCTGGCTACTCTTGTTCAGAGCGGAGCTGATGATGTTTTTCACAGGAGAAGGTGCCTTAGGCTGTTTCCTGGCCCAAATCCAGTGCCTGTCATTAAACCCTTGCTGTGTACATCTGCTGGGAAGCTCCAGCTCCATCAGGGAAGCTCCCTCCCCATGGCCCTCAGCATCCTGCACTCACCACGCACCAGCAGCACAGTGCTGGTGGACAAGAGCTGGGGAGATGCAGGAGCATGGAGAGGCTGCAAGCTGGGTGCTGTGGATTTAGGGAGCTGCACGGAGGTGGGTCAGGGCTCCTCAGCATCACAGGGCTGAGAGCAGTGAGTTGGGGATGCTGCTGAGATGGGGCGGGAGGTGGAATTCAATGGGTATTCACTGCAGTTTTGGGATGTGCTTCAGAAATGATGGGAATCTTGTCCATAAAAAGCACCACCCCAAAATAAAAGGTTCTTTTATCGTGAAGGAAACCCCTGGCTCCTGCAGGGTGAAGCTTCCCAGCTCACACAGGGCAGCAGCCAAACAAAACCAAGCAGGGATGGAGGCAAAGGCACTGCCTGGGAACCTCTTTCATGGCATCAGCAGCGCCAGGATTTCACTTGTGAGGCTGCCCCTGCTGCCAGCACTGGCTGGAAAAGCAAGCAGAAGCCGTTTATTCCCTATTTTCATTCTATTATTGTTGGTGTTGCACAGCAACGCTCGCAAAAGGCACTCACAAGTCTGTGGGATGCCCAGAAGTCAACAAGGAATTGTGGCTACACAAGCGCTGACCTAGAAACACTGAGTGCTTCAAAGACATCCTGCCCTTTTTGGGGTGGTTTTGTCTCTTTGCTGCTCAGGCTCCTCCAAGCACCAGGGCTGCACTGCTCTGCCATAGCTGGATGCTGCAGCTCCGCAGCTCAATTGGCTGGTGGGGATTCTCTTTGCCTTGGAGTATGTAAATAAACATCAATATTCTAAAGCAAAGACCTCCCAGTAACTAAACGTTATTTATCCTCAATTCCTCTGGAAACTAAACAGCTTTGTCACGTCTGTGCAATAATAAAGAAGCAAATCACAGCGGAGGAATTTGATGTCATTGGTTTTATTCCGAGCGCACGCGTTCAGTACCCACTGCTAGCAACGGAGTTTTCACAGCTCGTTAGAGATGTTACAACTTTGGGGGAAGCTCCTTGCACTCCCCCACCAGTGACAGGAGACATCACAGCCTCCCCATTTGTTTTAGCTCTATTCATCCCTCACAACAGTGACGGCTTCCAAACCATATCAGGGAAATACTTCACTGGGGAAAGGCACTTTGTGAGCAGCAAACTTTGGAGCATGTAGTCGGGATTTGGGTCTGTTTAGGTCTTAACTTGATCCCCCTAGTAGTGTTACCAATAATAAATGCCAACATAGAATCATAGAATAGTTAGGGTTGGAAAGGACCTTAAGATCACCCAGTTCCAACCCTCTGCCATGGGCAGGGACACCTCACACTAAACAATGCCACCCAAGGTTCTGTCCAACCTGGCCTTGAACACTGCCAGGGATGGAGCATTCACAACCTCCCTGGGCAACCCATTCCAGTGCCTCACCATCCTCACAGGAAAGAATTGCCTCCTTATATCCAATCTAAACTTCCCCTGTTTCAGTTTTAACCCATCACCCCTTGTCCTATCACTACAGTCCCTAATGAAGAGTCCTTCCCCAGCATCCCTATAGGTCACCTTGCTTCCTGTGACCAATTAGCACATGACAGTGCGCTTGCTACGGATCAACAGAAAATACCTTTCTTATTTTATCCACACCAACACTCGCGTGGCAGCCACTGGCATTTTGCATCCCAAATAGCTGAGAGACCACACACCTCGAGTACACCCCCCCAATATAGACACTGGCACTCGCGGCTCTCCCTTCTCAGTAGCTGGTGGCTGTGTCATGTTAGCAATGCACTCAGGCATTTGGGAGGTGTCAATCTCCCCCTCCCGAGCTCCGCACCCAGAGCTGCTTGCAGGGCAGGACGGTGCACGTCGGGGACACTGCAGCGGGATTGCGGAGCCCAGAGGCCCTTCTGCAAGCCTTAAGCAGGCTGAAACCTCCCTGCCGGCAGTGGAAATCTGTCTCGGTGAGGATCATCGGATAAAAACAAAGACTTTGAAACCAAGGCAGAATTAAAGCTCGTCAGCGGGATGTGCAGCTCTTGGAACAATGTTGGCGATGAGTAATTGTAGCTACAGAGGGGGGAAAAAAGGGTGAGCATAGCTCCAGCCGAGCCCAGCTTAGCAAGAATCCTGCTAATGCCGCTTCCTTCACCGCCGGCAGCTCTGGATGGTGCCCGGATCCAGCGGGTATGAGTGTTACAACACAAATAATGGCTCAATCCCACAAGGTGGTGAGTCCTGACCCAGCCCAGCCATGCACTCAGGCACGTGCTGCACTTCGTGGTGTGAATCTGGGCTCCTTTTGTATTTGCTGGACCAAAAGCTGAAGTTTTGAGCAGCTGCAGGACCCAGTGCTGCGTCTGAGATGGGGAATGGTTCTCAGGCAGCCGCATCACTGCTGGGTATAGCTGCTGGGCTGTGGGTGCAAAAGGGCTCAAAGAGCCAGCAGACAAGCACAGAACAAACACTGAACTGCAAAGCTGTAATTGCCAGTTGAGCTGCAACTCCAAGGAAGCAGCAGCAGCTTACACTGATCTCACCAGCAGCCCTTGTACTTGCCATGGGTCGCTGGCAGAGATGGAGGGACCAGTTCAGAGGGACTGACCCAGCCTGGCTACTCTCCCGCTGTTTGAAGTGCAGAGATGTATAAATCTATAGTAGGGAAGTGCCTGGGCATGGAGCAGGCTCCTGTGGGCCTGGGGAACACCAACACGTGTGCCTGGGCTCCTGCTTTCATTCCAGCTTGTTAGAGTTTCTAGAAAAGCATTGTTCAAAGCTTACTTGTTGGTGATTTATCTGCCACATCTGCATGCAGAGTCGGCAATGGCAAAGAACAAGCACAGGCATCCAGAGGGGTCACAAGACTAAGATCTTAAAGGCCAAGAAAGCTAAGCCACTCTTTACAGAGCACCCTGTCTCAGGAGATTTGGGAAATAAGGGTTAAAAGGAATGAGGGATACCATTTACATAATACTGGTGGACGCTGTATTGAAGTGTTTTACATCCTGGTTACACTGAAGCAGCAGCTTTGTCAATGAACTGAGCCAGCTTCACATCTCTTTTGGTCAGTCCACCACAGTCGTGGGAAATCAGAGTTATCTGAACCTGTCAAAAAGGAAAAGAAAGGGGTTGCAAAACCATTCTCATCTCAGACACAGTCGAGCAGCAATTCATCGGGAACGCTGCGTGCCTCTGGCAAGCTGGTTTTACACGATGCTCCCACCAGCAGCGAGCTGGATGCTCAGTGCTCATGTAAACCAGAAGACGTTGCAGGTGGGGAGGCTCAACAGAGCATGAAGTCTAACCAAAGTGAGCCCCTGCACAGAAGAAAACAGGCTTGGCATTCTTGGGCTTCACCCAAGAAGAGGTGTCTGATTAAATAACTCACTCTCCACATTTAAATCCCACGGATCAGTTTCATGAAGAACCCGGGCCAGGGACCAAGCTGCCAACGGCCCAGTCAGGGGCTCCGGAGTTTGGTTAAAACCCAGCACCCTGGAGGTGAAAAACTGGTTAAGCTTGGTGCAGATTAATCCCAAGAAGGGAAACCAACGGGCTGGTGCATTCTGCTGGGACGCAGATGCCTGTGCCAGTTTGCTTACACTAAGGCGGATGATGCAGTAGGTTTGTCTCGCCTTTGACTGGGCTTTCGGGAGGGAAGAAGAGGGGCAAAAAGATGAATTGTGAATACTCTGGAAACACACAAAAATGGTGAAGAGCAGGTGAGGACTTTGCCCAGTAGCCATTTAATGTCCCCTTAAACAGGGGGACCTGAAGGGATGATGGAGAGGAGCCGGTGCAGGGATGCTGCCACAGGGAGTAGAGGTGGAGATGTCCTGCCCTAGTTATTCCAAGCCACAGGCTGCTTGCCCATACCTCCTTTCAGTATATTTTTACTGGTAATGCCATATAGCCACCAATGTTAAACCAACTTGATACAATGCAATGAGAAGTATTAGGAAATAAAGGGAGAGCAATAATTTCCCCTTTCACACAGCACCTTTCATTCGAGGGTTGCCATGTACCTTGTAACCCTTGTAAATATGAGACCACCATCAGTTAGGCAGTATTATAAACAAACATTCTAAGCTGCTACGTTGAGATGTGGGAGCCTATACGGTTTAGAAAATCAAACCTAAATTGAGAGTGCCAGGCTCCCATTTAGATATGTACACAGACACCCTACCACCCTACACTGCTGGGCTCCTGACTTGCTGCACAGAAAGGAATGAGAGCTGGTGAGTAGTTTCCAAACAGTGATTTATTCAGGATGGCTAAGTAAGAGTATAAAGGCTTCTATTTGATTTTGAGAGGTGAAGCTATAGGCCCAAACCATGCAGCAGGCAGCAATCACAAGGAGCCTGATTCTTGATTCCTCACCACTACAAATATCTTGGCGTCTCTTTAGAATCTCAAATCTCTTTATAAAGATGCAATCTATTTCCATTCCCTTATCTTGTACATTATAAGCCACAGGCAGAGAGTGGCTTGGTCTCCTTAACTTGCCATGCCTGTAAATAGAGCTGGTGAACACGTTACCTTGCTGTAGACATTAAACCATTCCGGGTGGTGATTCATCTTCTCTGCTTGTAGAGCAACACGTGTCATAAATCCAAAAGCCTAAGGAGAGAAAAAGCAAAGAGGAAAATACTCCTTCACCTGCCAGGACTGGCAGGAGATCTGCAAGATTCACTCCAAAACCCCTAGAGATGCTCCAGATTGCTGCACCTTGGGTTTGTGTGTGCTAAAGGAGCATTTCAGCGTCTCACACCACTGGAGCACTTCCTGAGACTGCTGAAATCATCTCCCTCAGATCCCGGTAAATCACTGCTCAGTGCTACTTACTCCAGGATTCAAAGCCATTGCATGAGATCAATGATTTTACCTCAGGCATCCAACAGTGATTTTAAACATCCACCCCAAACCCTTCATCACTTACTGCATCTTAGAAACGTGCCATTTCTAATTAAGCATCATGCCACAGTATTACTGATACAACTTCAAGGAACTCATCCTTCCATGTAACTATTTTTTCTATTTATTTTACTGGGGAGGGGAAAGGGACAGGTGGGTTTGCCCCTCTGCTTTAGGAGAAAACATTTCCCCTTTAAATGAATTAAAATAGGTTTCCCCATGTTCTGCCCCTACATTCTGCACGGCATGCTCCCCCGGGACGCAGGTTTTATCACAGCCCCAAGAAGAAACTAATAGCAGGCTCTTGCCAAAACACTTCGGGGCAAATCAATGCATTATGAAGAAAATTAGAATGTCCATGTAAATCAAGGATGCAATTACACAGCGGGGCCCAAAGGACCTCGGTCCATGAGCAGGACGCCTCTAAGTCAGCAGGCTTTGTTCATACCCAGCTCCATGTACTGAGGTTCAGGACCTGAATCAACATGCAAAACTAAAGTAACATCCACATTATAGTCTGGTTCATATTATAACACAAGTTCAACAAAACTCCACCTGATTTAGGTAGGATTTTAGTGCTAATTTATGGAAGAGAATGTACGTAGCCCGCATTCCGCCAAGTGATGGCCATTTCAAACAAACATGTGGTCAATGAATAACATATAATGGTTGATAATAGTTTCAAGTCTTTTTTCCTCTCACAAATTACAGAAACCTTTAAGTAAAGAAAGGAATTGGTGCCTGGATGAAGCATGACTTTGTTAGTTGCTTTGCCAGTCAAACGAATGCAAACGTTATAATCAGAGAAAATCATTCCAATGAGGTTTGTCATTTGGAAATCACCAAACTGTCAGCAATTAAAAAGCTTTTTTCTTTGACCCAAGAGCATTCCAAAATTCAGGAAAACCTGACTTCCCTCGGTTTAGTTTTACTTGGAGTGAACAATTGCTTTTAAAAACTGCAAATGTTTCAGCAGCAGCTTTTGAAGCAGAAAGCTGCAAGTTGTGCATTAGATGCTTGCAATGATTTGGGAAACTTCTGCATTAATAAAGCCAAATGATTATTTGATTTAAATGGTTTTAGAGTGTCCCTAGAAATGCTGTTTCCAATACAGGAATCTATACACAGGAATGTCCCCAGAAGTTTAAAACAGCAACTGGATTGCCTTTGTACAAACAATGAGGATAAAACCCCACACATTATATTTATGAAGATCCCTACTAGGTTCATGTTTGCTCTACTGGTGTCTGTCCATCCCAGGAACTCCCCCGCCTATGCATACACACGGGTTACACTACACAAACACAATTCATTGACTGTGTGATAATAACCATTGCCCCAGTGGAGTGAACTATGCAAGCAAATGAGTCCACTAATGTGCTCTGCAGAGTTTCCTTCACACTTTGTGAATACAAATCCTCCCAGTTAGTGGACCACCACATCCGCTCGAACTGGGGCACGACATCAACCCACCGCCTCTTCCCCTGCAGACAGGAAAACGTCTTCAAGGTGGATAAAAGAGATGCTGGGGAGGGACTCTTCATTAGGGACTGTAGTGACAGGACAAAGGGTAACGGGTTCAAACTTAAACAGGGGAAGTTTAGATTGGATATAAAGAGGAACTTCTTTCCTGTTAGGGTGCTGAGGCACTGGAATGGGTTGCCCAGGGAGGTTGCGAATGCTCCATCCCTGGCAGTGTTCAAGGCCAGGTTGGACAGAGCCTTGGATGACATGGTTTAGTGTGAGGTGTCCCTGCCCATGGCAGGGGGGTTGGAACTGGGTGATCTTAAGGTCCTTTCCAACCCTAACTATTCTATGATTCTATGATTCTAAAATGGACACCAATCTCAAAACTGTCCACCTTCCCAAAGAATGCTCAACTTGGGTCTGTACAAGTAATGAAAATGAATTCACTCTGGCACAGAGGACGCTCCCTGGTTTGTTGCTGATTGCTCCAGCGGACCACAACCGTCCCGAGCACAGCAACCTGGTGTTACAGTCAAGAACAAATCACGCAAGAGGCATGCCCACCTTCATGCATGCCCTGCTCTGTGCACGGAACAGTTAGGGTTGGAAAAGACCTTACGATCATCTAGTTCCATCACCCAAACAACTTACTTCTTGTGTTTTAGCTTATTTTAATGATACACAAAGAGTATCTCCCACTAAGAAAATGAGCTATGGTTCTACCAAGCAATTTCAGCGACACAATCTCCATTAAGGTCCTAAATACTTCCTTTGCCAATTAAACGCATTGCAACGCTATTGTTGATGAATCACCTTTATATTTGTAGAGCCGTAACCTTGCTTAGGGAAAATACAATTGGCTCTGGAAGGAAAAGATATTTAGGTTTGATTGGATATGAAAACACTATTACACAAAATCAGTTTGGACATTTCTTCACGTCTTGAAACTTGATCGGTAATTTGGTCTAATTGGTGATCAAGGAAACTATCTTGTGATCAATTAAAGTAATTACCACATTCCGGCGACACAACCAACCTTAATTGGAGCAGGAGTCTGCACTTCTTCAACGTGAATTAAAAATAATGGGAATTATTCTGCAGTCTGCAGTGCAAGATCATTGCCAAGCCTGCATTGGTGGGCAGAGTTTATCAGACCATCACACGTTTCTTGATGAAAGTGGGACAAGTACTTTACTCACGCCAGTAAGACTCAACACAGTCCTGACTTTCACTATTAATAACAGAGATCTGCAGCCCCTTGGTCACTAACAAGAACTTTTATAGATTTTTCCTTTAAAAATAAAAGAGAAGTAAAAGAAAGGATTAGTGCATTTTGTAGAAGCCATAACAAAGTATTAAGAGAGGGTCTGATGTACTAAATATGATATTCAGATATTTCAGTGACAGGCATATAAGACAGCCATTTTCAACTTAATCCTTTTAGGACATTTGGGATAAAATAACATCCAGGTTAGCCTAAATAAGTACATCAAGTCATCCAAGTAATGCAGACGGAAGAGTCCCTGCAGCGAACTCCAAAGAGCCATAGGAGCAGCAATCAGTGAAGCAATCCTGCACAGACAAGGACATGCCTTGAGCTCCCTTCATGCCTGTTAAGACCATGAAAGAAAGAACTAAAAACTAACATCATAACATCACTTCCAAAATGGTTTCTAAATACTGGCAGCCATAGTATGTCTTTATGAGATAAAAATTAGGGCTATTCTTAGAACAAGTTAACCCAATAGAATAAAACAAACCCCAAAACACATCAGGTAACACACAGTGCTCCAGGACTGGCCAAACTGCTTTTGAAAGTGACAAAATACACGTTCACAACATAAGATTTAATGTGACTTTTGCTGCCTGAGAATGGGAAAACCAGGGCCAGACACTTTACTGTCAGAAGTGGGAGGAAAGATGAAATTCCATCCGTCCCTCTGCACCGCAGAACGCAGCACGGCTCCGGGAGAACCACAGTATCCCAGAGCTAATCTGCTATTATTCTTCCCTTCACACTTCTTAAGCAAGGAATCAATTCATCTTAATACTTTTTAAACATGCTGCCTTCTGTACAATGCTTGCCAACATTATCTTGATGAGTTATACATCAGAGGAACACAGGTCGGTATGTCGTGCTAATACATCACCCGCCCGCGAGTCCCTGGTGATGGATTACCCCAGTGCATCTCCAGAACACAGCAGCTGACAGTACTTGACTCAAAAGCGCAGATACTCAAGGAAAACAGCTGAGAGGCTCAACAATAAAACCATACACACTTTTTATTTGTTTGTTTTAAAATGTGAACGCTATGAAGTGCGGACCAGGGCTTCTTAAATCCTTCGGACACTCAGCCAAGGAAACCATATGCTAATCACAAGTACATTAAGGTTTCTGCCTCCCATCTGTCATTATAATGCTGGAGGTAGCATTAACCTTGACCTTCTGCGGTACGAGGGCTACCTGTCTTCCCTTCCCCACCCACACAGGCTTCATCTGTATCATTTATCAGTGGGGAATGAACAAGTAGAACAAGTTATAGAGTCCTTGTCATACAAGGCAAGAGAGGACTGTGCCTCACACATTTGCTTTCCATTGACGCAGAGTAAAAAATACTCAGGATACAGCACATGTTCTCCTTAGCAGCTTGACACTTATAACAACAATAAACTCAAATCATTAAGGTTCACTTCCAAACTGCAGAAGCTTTCACACATCCAGCTGACATTATTACCTAACAGCGAGCTACGGGCCAGCAGATAAAAGGGAAAAGCTCTTCAATGCTGAGCTATTGGAAGTTATGCTTAGCTCATCACAAGGGTTGTCATATTTTATGTTGTGCTCTGAAGAAAAATGCTGGTTTAATTCCATTTACTCCATTAAGAAGGACTCACAAAGCCACACTCTTCACCTGACAGTGACAGCATGGTTAAAACAGCAAAAGAGAGGAACCCAACTAGTGATGGCAGCACAGGAGGACAGGCATTCATTCTCAAAACCATGTACCCATTTTGGGATCCTTCCCTGTTGGCATCATCAACCTACCTGAGCCATTCCCAGGGACACTGGATCCATGCAGCAGTAAGTATTTTCCTTCTTTTCCTTTCAAGCCTTGTTTGGATTCACCCACAACATAAATCAGGGGAACACCTTCCCGTTGCTCTCCCCCTTTTAAATATCATTCCAAAAGCAATAGGAGACAATGCAACCAAAACACACCCCCCAAAAGAGCTGACTC